AATATCCCGTTATTTCTTGACTTTTTCTCTTACATTTTTCACGGGTTTTGGTCATTTTCTTTGCTGTAAATCTTTATACATGAAAGAAAGCTTTTTTTTTCCTGGAATTTCTCTATTTTTTAAAAATGCATAGCAATCTACACACACACACACACACACACACACACACCTATGGACAATATGGGATAGATGTAGAAAAGTTAAAAATATGATTAAAACTCGTACATATATTAGTTGAAAACACTATTAATAAGCATTCTTGAATTGATGATTCACAGGCATTTATGGGTACTAATAATTATTTGTATTCATTTTGGCAAATAAGGGGCAAAATCATTTACAGTGTAACCCGGATATAAGAGACCCGGATATAAGAGAGATTTTCTCTCGTCCCAAATTAGAGCCTGTGTAAATGTATATAAAATAGACCAAACCCGGATATAAGAGAAACCCGGATATAAAAGACTTCTTCTCCGGTCCCGACAACTCTCTTATATCCGGGTTACACTGTATTTGAAATTTAATCTGGAGTGCTAAATCTTTTCTAACTTTAGTAATAAGTTTAGTAGCAATTTATAAGTGCTTCTTCTTTGTTGAAAATGTCTCCGAAGAAAAACATTCTTGAAACTAAAAGGGTTGAAATAATGCATTGTTCAAAGAAAGGTTATCCCAAGTAAAAAAAAAAAGATGCAAGAAAAGTGAAATGCTCAAGAAATGGTGTACAAACAAACAACCAATAAAAGATATAATGAAACCAATTCTTTCAAAAATCGTGATGGTCAAGGCCGGAAAAGGTGTACAAACTCAAGGGAAGACAGACTGCTAAAGTGGTTATCTCTAGGTGAGAGGGAAAAAATAATCTTCTAAAGTGATTGCTAAATTTCGAGAGGCAACAAAGTGATATCGACTCTCGCAGTGAGAAGAAGGTCAGTAAATGCAAAGTTAGGAAAATCCCATTGCTGTCTGAGATGAATAAGAAAAAGATACTTTCTTTTGCAAAAGAGCATGAAAATTAGACAGCCGAGGATTGGGCCAAAGTTGTCTGGTCTGATGAAAGCAACTTTGAAGTAAGTTCCTTTATTAGTTGAAACTACTTTATTGAACATAATTGATTTTATTACGCTTATTAATATTGTATTTTTATTGAATAGAAAATTATCTCTAAATTTTTTATTTTATCAGATTTTTGGAACCCCTGGAATTGTTTATATTCGTCGAAGAGTTGGAGAAGTATACGATACTCAATGTATTGCCCCAACTTAAAATTTAGAGGTGGGAGCATAATGGATTGGGGCTGCATGTTGTCTTCAGGGACAGGAATATTATTCATATGTGAGGGTAGAATGAATTTCAACACCTACACAAGCATGTTAGACCAATATTACCAACCTTCATTAGAGAAAATTTTCAACAATAATATACCAGATGGAGTAATCTTCCTACAAGACAACGCACCATGCCACACATCCGGAGTTTCGAAGGGTTGGTTTGAAAAGAAAGAAGTGAGGGTAATGAAGAGGTCTCCTCAGTCCCCTGGCCTGAATCCTGTTGAATATCTGTTCTTCAAAACGCGAATTAGAAGACAAACATCATGAAGAATAGCAGAAAATCAAGCTTGTACTAAGCTGGTTTCCATTATGCAAAAGCTCATAAAGGCAGTTATAAAAACAAAAGCAGACCTCACCAAGTATTAATTATAAGTTAAATTTACTTTAAAAGCTTTTTTTTCTTTAAATGATAAAATGAGTTTCAATTATGTTTCTAACTTTATTACATCTGCCCCATAATTTGTCCATGGTTATATATATATATATATATATATATATATATATATATATATATATATATATATATATATATATATATATATATATATATATAATGCAATGCTCTTCAACTAGATTCGAGCTCCCTGGCCACTGATGTCTTTCGTATAGTAAAGACGTTAAAATTTCCCTGACTCTCTGCGACAATAGCGTAGGGGTAGAATCTCTGACTGTTGCTAAATCGGTCGGGTTTCGATCCCGGCTTGAAGCAATCGGACGTCTAACCACACTGATGAGCTGTGATACAGCGAAACAGTGTGTCTGTGGATATATATATGCACACAAGTCACTTCGAAAGTATTTCATTATGTTGGCCGCTTCACTTCGCCAATGCCCTATCATTTTCATTCTTTGTGATTTAATACAGACAACAGCTGGGTGACAATCTGACAAGATACCGCCTGACATGAAAGTGTGTACGAATCACTGTGTCACTGATGTAGTCTTCACGGAAAAATTGCACCCACTGACATTGATTAACACGGAGACTATACAGTGGACGTGAGCACAGGTAAGCGGTGGGAAATGCATTTAAGCATTAACAGTCAACCATCAAACCACGAAAATGCGGAGTTAGTGATGCTGATTTAGTGTGAAAATTAGTATTTTTATAGCTAAAATATTGCTGTATCCAACAATGTTAATGTTCTCTCTGTAGCCATAGTGTTTAACATGGAAATAAATATGGGGTATTACTTTCGGAGTATGGGGTCATTTATTTTTTTTATTTCGAACAAAAAAGTGAAAGAAACTGTTTATAATTTTTAAAATGTCTCAGAAGTTTGTATATATATTTCTTTTTATCCTACAGGTATAGGATTTGGTTTTGTCTACGTCCCGGTGGCTTCAATTCCAAGTTATTATTTTAGCCATTATTTAAACATAGTTTCCGGTATTTCTGCCAGTGGTGCTGGTTTTGGGACATTGCTTTATTCCATAATTGTACCAAACTCATTACAAACGTATTCATTGAGAGGAACGTTCTTTGTGCTTGCTGGAATATCAGCACACATGTGTCTTTTTGGCGCCATCTGTCGTCCAAATAAAATAGAGAAGGAAAAACATAAAAAAAACAACGTTGGTTATACGGATGACCATAACGGCTATTTACAGCTCCTGAAAAACCTGCCTCTTTTGATGTTTTGTTTGAGTATATTCTGTTGGAGTATGGGTGTTTCAATAGTCTTGATATTCTTACCAATGTATTGTCAATATTTCGGTTCCACTGATCAACAGACTGCCATGGTTTTCTCTTTTATTGGCGGTGCTAATATCCTTTCACGAATCCTGACAGGAATTGCCGCAAACGCTGATAATATCAATGAGTTAAGTCTGTATGTTGGTTCCTTTGGAATTAGTGGCATTGCATCTCTTCTGCTGCCACTTTATGCACAGACATTTACTGGCCAGCTTGTTTATGGTATAATTCAAAGTTTGCATACGGGAGGTGTCTACGCTTGTCTTAATTCTATTAATATAAGGTTGGTAGGGATATCCCACGTTGCTATGGCTACTGGATTGGAAATGTTTTTCTGCGGAAGCGGATTTTTGGTTGGACCCCCCTTGGGAGGTAAGTACAGACATTACAAACAATGAAAACACGAATCTAATTTTGATTTTTCAATTGCATTTACACGAGTTGCTTTCTAAAGTCTAGGCGAAGTTAAGTAGATTGCACAATCTGTTTACCTCTTAAGTTTCCTGTATCTCGCCGGACATTTCAGTCTTTTCTCAAAATCATTCCACCAGGAAGCGTTTAAAATGATCAAATATTTTCTGCTATTTTTTCTTTTCTTTTTTTTTTTTTGAATCCATTTGACGCTTTAAGTTCCCTGCATGTATGATAACACCTTTTACATTTGAATGAAAAGAGACTGTGATCAATATGTGGGGTCGTGAGCGTATATGACAGAGATTATGGTATTCTAAATTTACTTTCATAATATTGTGTCAGACATGTGGTGTTGCTACATGTCGAAATACAGTATGTAGCAACACCATGTGTCTGACACATTATTATGAAAGTAAATTCGAAATACCACAATCTCTGTCATTTATCATTCGTAACTCTAATCAATATTTGTCTCCTATTCCTAGAAGTGTCTGTTCTGCCATCCATTTACACAAGATTGTTAGGTTGGTTACTTGATGTTTCTCTATGTCCCATCCGATTATGGCCGATCATGGCTCTCCACAACTTCCTATCCTTCGTAACTCTAATTAATATTTTTCTCCTATTCCTAGCATTCGTTGTTCTACCGTCCATTTACACAAGTTCGTTAGGTAGGTTACTTGATATTTCTTTCTGTCCCTCTTACCTTCAATATGTCCTGTCAGTGTCATATTTTCCAAGCCGTCTTTTCTCATTGTGTGTCCCAAAAATTCCAATGGTCTCTTTCTGATTCTAAGTTTACTTTTTCTTCCTATTTTCGTCAAAACTTCCTACTTGTTCCCGTGTTCTGTCTATGGTATTCTCATCATCCTATTGTTGATCAAAACTTTTATTTCCTCCAGTTTTCTCTTCATATTGTTCAGCATTCAGTGCCATATCAGAGCATTTATATTACATAGAAACTCAGTTATTATTTCCTTTTCATGTTTCTTAATACTTTGCTTAGCTTTTGGAGGGCATATTTTGCTATTCCATTGTGCCTTCAGATTTCTGTGTCACATTTTGTGTCGTCTTTAAAACTCTTCCCAGATACTTACATTTTTTGTACTTGATTGATTTTAACATTTCCAGTTTGTAACTCACATCTTAGGCTGCCCCTTTTGCTAACAACCATATAATCTGTCTTGTTACAATTGATAAATAGTCCTTTCTTCCTGTTTTACTTTACTACCTTGTCTAGGGATTTATAAAACACAAAAATATGTGAAACGCAACATAAAAATGTGGGACTTAATTTAATTTGTTTTTTACGGTTTATCAACCATTTGTAGGTTTTTTAAATCCAGAAAATATTTTTTAGGATTTTTTTACGACAATAATGATTTCTACTGATACAAGTTCTACTAATTAACCCATATCTGGGAGGAGAAGAGTAGATTCATACCTTTCCAAAGAGTAATTGGAATATAACGTGAATATAACGAATTCGACTGGAATTGGAACTCAGCTCTCCGACTTCCAATCCCGAGACGTTATCCATTACACCACCCTCACATCCAAATTTACAGCACCTGGTTTTCACAAGCGGTCACCCATCTAGGTACTGACCAGGTTCGACGTTGCTTAACTTCAGTGATCATAACGTGGAAAGGAGAAGATTGATCATCGTTATTCTATCATTTAGACTAGTTCATCCTAGTCAGCCCACTCGAATCGTTTTTTCCTTTCACCAAATATTCCATTATACACTTACCATTCGTACTACAGGCGCCATAATACCAGATGCCTCATGGCATGTAACACCTCTGATAAGGTTTCTGTAATCGAATTGTTCCATGGTGTGGGGTTATTAAGCCTATGCCCAAAATCTGCACGCTGAGGAAGGGCTGGTTTTCTGTCGGACTTTCCTTCTATTAGACCACGCGTTCCCACCCTAACGAGTTGCATCTACCGTATTTGAAAATTCAGATTTTTTTCTCTTAGACTAGTCATTAACTAAAGTTAAAGAGTCCAGTCTGCCCTACTATCTAACCTATAGCTGGGGGGATGGGGCTTGAGAAAGATGGATTCATGCTTTTCCTAAGTGTATTTGTGCAACAGTGAATGTAATAAACTCTACTTGAATTGGAACTTGGTACGCCGATTTCTTGTTTCATGTGGCTTACTATTACACCACCTGCAAACCCAGGAATTAATATTTATTCTTGTATAAAAGAGAAAAAATAAAGTGCATGGTCTAAAATGGGGCTGGAGAGGGTAAGTTTTCGGTGAAGAGTTGAAATTTTTATGGCGTATAATGAGGTAAGAAGGCTTGGAAAATCTGATACCCACAAGACAGATCGAAAGCAAGAGAGACAAAAGAAAACAACGCATAACCTACTTAGTGAGCTTGAGTAAATGGATGGCAGAACAAAAATTATTAAGAGCTACGAAGGACAAGAAATTGTGGAGATCCATGATCGGCTACGTTCTACACAACGCATAAAGAAGAATATAGAAGAGAAAAAATATGAACAAAATTTAAAATAGGGCTTGAGAGTGTGGATCTTCAGTGTCTTATCTTTTAATCTTTACCTAGTCACAATCATTCGCCCAAGCATTCGCTAATGTTACTTCCACCAAAATATCACATTTACACTTATTGGAGGCACTATAATCTAAGAACATTTTTATAACATTCTAATTAATCCCATGTGTACAATTTTAATATAATGATGGTAATAACGATTATTAAAATATCGTAATGATTACTTATAATGGAAAAAATATTACAAAATAACAAAAATTGTATTGTTCTTTTTAGAAATTCCCAAACAATTTAATAGCAGAAATATCAATTAAGTCGAAAAATAAAGAGATATAAAATAATATTTTCCCGTGCAGATATTGGCCCACTATATAAAACAGCATGATAGATTGGGCCAATATCATCACTGGAAAATATTCAACTTTTATGGGGGGAAAAAACTGCTGGAAATTGGTATGAACATTACCCAGACCCGATTACAGTGATAGAGACGTGTAACAATTTCATGGGATTTTACAATACACACAGAGCAATCAAAGCTAATCGCCCAGACATCGTGATCAAAGACCACAAGAACAGTATGTACTTTCATATTGATATGGCGGTCCCTGCAGATTGTAATGTATCTTTGAAGATCTTCAAGGAACTATCAAAATACAAAGATCCTGAAGTGGAAATCTCAAAAATGTGACACGTGAGAACATCAATAATTTTAATTATAGTTGGAGCCCTCGGATTGATTGGGCAAGGTTCGATATTCTCATAGAAGAGATTCCTGGTAGACCATGCCTTAAAGAAATACAAAAAAAATGTACTCACAAGTACAGCTCTCACATTACGAAGAGTTTTAGCCATGTAAAATGTGTGATCTTTTTTTCAAAAATGATCAGTGGAAAATGTCATGAAGCTATTTCTGACCTTAAGACAGACCTTGGCACACAGAAGGAAATATGTATCACACTGACAGAACAATCAAGTCCAACCGCCCGGATATTGTTATTAAAGACCACAAACAAAAACGGTGCCTCCTTATTGATATGGCAGTTCTTGCTGACTGCAATGTATCTTTGAAGATATTCAAAAAGTTGTCAAAATACAAGGACCTTGAAATAGAAATCTCAAAAATGTGGCATATGGGAACATCAACAATCCCTGTTGTAGTTGGAGTCCTAGGACTGGTTAGAAAAGATTGCAGAAGACTAATTGAAGAGATTATTTTGAAGTCCATGCATCAAGGAGATACAAAAAATTGTTCTGACAAGTACAGCCCACACTTTACGAAGGGCTTTATCTATGTAATTTTTTTTTTTTTTTTGTCAGTGGAAAGTGTCATGACGCCATTTCTAACCTTAGGTCCCTGGGCGGGACCCGGAAAGAAATGTGTAAACCCCAGAAATCAAAGAAAATAATAATAATAATAACTAGTAGCTAGAGCCGACACTAGAGTCTCGTCCCCACCCATGAAACTTTGACATGGAATCCCCCTCTCTATTACATGTTGATTTCAAAGTTTTCCCAAACTGGGTACCACAAACCCTCGAAGGAAAATTGAGAGGAAGGGCAGCGCTTTTTATAAATTACCAAAAATCAGGGAATTATCGAATTTAAAATTCCAGTACATACTCATTAATTATTTACTTTTGTAATGAATAGTTTGTTTTTTTGATTTTTTTTTAAATAATCTGAGAACTTTTTGTAATAACTAGCAATATTTTCATGACTAAATTTTACTCGAAAAAATGTTTATGTCGCAAATTTTTACATTTCCATAAAGATTAATCGCCAACGCGTCTCCGTTAAAAAAAAAAGTTTTAGAAAAATTCCAGCACAACACAAATGGGATTGTCTTAAAAATTTGTTTTAAAAGCCGTATTTCAGTTTTCGGAAAAATTTTCCATGTGTTGAAATTTTTAAACATTTTCATTTTTTAAGGATCATTTTCTCGGTTTTATCTTTCTAGAAATGTAAAAAATAGGGACGAGAAATTTTATTTTAATTACTAACAGTGGACTTCTGGTTAGTATTACTATTAGTCAAAAAAAAAAAAAAAGAAACCTCAGAGATCCTCCTTAGTGGATAATCTCGTAATAAAAATGATTTTACCAAGATATACTTTTTATTGATTTAAAAGAACTGTTCAGATAGAAAATTACAGTTAAATAAAAAAAATAAGCGCTACTGAAATTAGTACTTCTTCACCCCCTTCCCAGTAGGTATGCCCCCCCCAAGCGATTGAGAGGTTCAGTGTAGCAAGCACCGGCCCTGTCGATGATCGACAATATAACTTAGGTAGGAGAAAAGCAAAAAACGCTGCTAAAACAAACCCCTTTGGGGCTCTAACCTCTTCGTGGGGTACTGCGTAGTACGCACCGGACATGCCGATACACGATGTATATTATTAGTTGATGAGTGACGATATAACATCAGTTTAAAAATAATTTTAAATAAAAGGGTGGATGGTAAATAAAACACTACTGAAAAAATAGCAGAGGTCACAACGGGGAACACACACAAAAAAAAATAATAGTGTACAGAAACACTTGGTTAAAACAGTTGCGTAAATATTCACAGTACAATCCTTGAAAATGAATATAGCAACCACTGTTATTATCATTATTATTATTATTATTATTATTATTATTATTATTAAAACACGGGGACCTCCTTTTTTCTCCCATAAGAATGTCAGAAGTACACTCAATAAAATACGAATGAAATTATAAAAATTCAATGCCCCAATATATATACACTATATTATACTGAAACTATATGAACGCATGGGAAATATATATATATATATATATATATATATATATATATATATATATATATATATATAATGAACACTCCCATCGGTTTCGACGTATGAGGATCTGACAACTTAATTGATTCATTTTGTGCAATAATCTTAAGTGGCACTTAAGACCCGCTAGTGATTTACAAAGGAGGCCGCATATAGAGCAAGAGTGAGGATTGTGGGATGAAATCACTGTTAGTTTGGCTGACATTTTAGATCTTGCTCTCACTTTTTGAAGACGATTCAGACAAGCAGATTGAGAACCGCTGAGTCCACTAAAGCACGTTGATCTCCATTCTACCCGCTCCAAGGCTAATCGCTCGAGGGTGTTATGTTATATATATATATATATATATATATTACAGGTAGTTAATAAATGAATCCAGAAGGTGGTCCCAAGACTTTGGGCGATAGGGTATATATATTGTGGCAATGGTTCATGAGAAGAAGTTGTTTGTGTGGAACTTCCTTCTCGTCGATGGAATGTAAGTGGCATGTTGGATCCTAGCTGTTAAGATTAGACCTAGCGAAACCAAGGAATGTATTTCGTCCGAGCATTTTCCTTGGAAGTAGTGAAAAAGCAGTGAGAGGTCCGCTACATCCCGCCTGTGGGTGAGAGGTTGGAAAAGAATTCTTCTCCAACAAGGATTTGGAGACGGTTTTGAACTCTATCAAGACTGGAAAGTGACGTCTGGGCAGCTCCCGCCAAAATGTGGCCACAATACTCCATTTTCTGGCTCTTATAAAGGTAGAGGATAGCAGGAGGGGTCAGGTACTTACCGAAGTGGTAAATTTTACCTGCATCTTCAGCAATGGGTCCTATATAAGAGTTCCACTTGAGGTCGAGTGTGGGTTTTAGGCCCAATATTCTCCCGAGGCACGGTACCTCCACGCGAGAGAGGGCGCTACCTAAAATTTAAAATCCACCAGCTCTAACATTACCATTAATCTACAAGGTAGATTAGGCAAAAAATTACACTATACTAAACACTAACAGTAATAAAAATATTAAAAAATTCTTACTAAGAATCTATTCCATTCATTTTAGGTTTGTTTCATATTAGCTGTCTTTAGATATATTTTTCTTTTAATCATTTAAAAAGCAGTCGCAGTTAATTTTACAGAGGAAAATCCAAGATTACTCATGCAAAATATATGACGAAAGCAAATGGAAAATTACGTAAATATGGCTGCTATATTTTTATGCTACAGTCCATGTCAGCTTTCATGAGATGTTTTCTTTTACCGATTTAAAAGTATAGTTCGTTCTTACATTGAGAAATATAATTAATTGTCCAGATAAAAAATCCAATATCTGCATGT